GGCACAAGTCAGGCTGCTGCCCTTTTTTCTGTGTGCACACACAGACCACAAAGTAATTATAATTCGCTTGGATGGAATTATTCAAAAAATGACCACATCTTTTACGCTCAGCCATAGAGAATATGGTTTTGGGAAATTTGGGGTAAATTACTACTTGCCGAAAATATAATAATATACATATATGTATGTGCCTTATTTTGATTTGACAAATGATTTAAAATGCAGTGTATTGTCTCCATCTAATTGCACAGCAATAAAAAAAACTACATACTTCACTTAAGTCCTCTGGGGTAAGAATCACATCACTCTCATCAGAATAGTTTTCCTGGGGAACAGCATTTTCACTCATGCTGGGCACATAAAATAACATTCCAGGTTTTTATTACACGAGGAATGGATCCTGTCTGAGCAAAATCCGTGCACTTCAGCTCGTTTGAAAGTTACTTACCGTTTCGCAGTAAGTGAACGGGAAAAGGTCACTAATTATTTGTTAACTCTACATAAGAAGGGGATGGAGCAAATCAATATGCAACATAATTGGCTGCCTAATGTTATTACAGCCACTTATAAACGTTGATATGTAACAGATAAACACAACAGATAGATGGAGTCCTGCACTGAAACAACATCTCTAAGTTGACCGAGTCATCCTCTGACGAGACGCTCAGCTGCTTCTTGACCTACTGCAATCTGGGTTGGAAATAAAATTGACCACCACTGCGCTAACTACAGTGGTTATTTAGATCTGTGTGTGTGTGTGTGCGTGCGTGCGTGTAGCATCCTTTCTCTCACTCCTCCAACCATCCATGAATGTTTATGTAATGGCCGCAAATTACTGAGACAAATCCTGGAAATAGAATTTTGTCTGAGGAGACCTCCTTGAAAAAAAAGAGGAGAACCACTGGAATGGCGAAAACCATCGCCACCACCCAGAGGAAAAAAAAGGACATGATGAAGAGGAGAGAGACAGGAGGGAAAGAAAAGCTAATAGCTTTAAAGAGGACATGGTGCCATCAGAAGTATATGATCCTGTTTTTTAGGTTTGTTGACGTGGAGACATTTGGAGACCAGGAACTGTCACTTTATCACTACTTTTTAAAATTATTTCCTGTTGCCCGTCGTTACATGCACGCAAATGTAAACACACACACACATATATATTTATATATATATATTCACAGGACATGTAAGGATGAGGAGTGTCCATTAGGCTCAGATTTTGGCCTGCAGCTGCTACGCTAATGGTTAGCACAGCCTCACTAATTCGACCAGGACCACAAATGTCCCAGAGCCTTATCACTCAGAGAAAACAAAGGGCTCTGGCTGCACACATATACACACACACATGCATCCATATGCACATGATGAAAGTGTTACTGGTCTCTCTAAGTCAGAAGAGGTCTTTTGTTTAAAAAGGGGACTCAGACAAAGAGGGTCTTCTCCCTCCCTCTTTAATGCATGTTCGGTGGGGGTGTTTAGAAAGATGGAGCCGTGAGGGTGGGGTGGTGGTGGTGGTGGTGGTATAGGCATAGCCGACAGGCTGTGCTCCGAGAAATAATTACCTCCATAAGATCCCATCTTCCTTTTCTTTTTGTCAGGGAACGAGGGAATGAAAAGAAGGGAAAATGACAGAAAGTAAAGTATGCAGAAAAGGCCCTAGTGTTTCTGCTTGGTCTGGCTTATGAGGAGCTTTACACATGATGGAGCACAGGGCTCAATGGGCGAGGACACACACACACACACCCCCACACAAACCCACTTGCTGCACAAACACACACCTCCTCCCAGTTCACTTTAGGGGGAAACAAATGGACAAATGTTGGAGACAAAGGCAACACATGAGAATCAGAGACACTACAACACACTAAACTAAAAACACTGTTAAGACTCAAAAATGTACCTAAACTAATTAGTCCCATAACAACGCACAATCAATAATGGAATACCCATGACGCACAATCTGTCATATTTTTCATTCAGGGTGTAACTTCATTATAGCAAAGAGAGGGGCAGAAAATAAAATCTAATTTCTTTAACAACTCTTGGATGACACTCAAAGCGAAAAGGCGAGTCCTCCACGTTAAGAGGCAATTCATTTATGTGCGCTCCTTCTGATGCGAGCTCAAAAAAGAACCTCAACTCAATTTTCGTCAACACTTCTAATTGTACAAAGACAGAGGGGGGTACTTAATCTCGGCAGTGGGAGCATGTGAGCGTTTTCTCGCCGTCAAACAACGGCCTGGAGACGGTGGAGGATCTGATTTTTCTTCATGTTTGACTCTTGTCAAAGAGTAGACTCGTTGTAGGCTCACAATGACGGCTTAGGACAGTGGTTCCAAACTCTTTCATCTTTGTAGCCCTCTTTTTAGATAAGACAATGGTTGCCCCTCTCCCCCAGGTCAACACAAACAAAACTTCAAAATTCCTCTGAACTCGATTTAAAACAAGTTTTTTAGCTTGCCCCATTCGCAACAGCGCCGTGCCCCAGAAGGGGGCCTGCCCCCCACTTTGGGAACCACTGGGTCAGAAAGAGAGGTTCTATTGTACACAGCCAACACACACTCACATGCAGCCTCTGCTGTCTTTGTTTAAAACACCTATACACTAGTGGTGCGTCCCCGCAAATACTACATCCTTAATTAGGCCATAAAATCAGCATCAAAATTGTTTAATGAAAGCCATTCACATGTACATAAAGTCCAGGGCATTAGTACCCTTATTCCCAAATAGGCCTATAATTATCTGGCTCCGTGCCAGGTCTCAGGCTTTAGGAGAAAGATACCGGTCAGCACTTAAATTAATCTTTTTCATACCGGTCTCTAATGAACAGAAAGTGCTCGAGTCAGGAGTTGTAGCCCCAGAAAACTAGCAGCATGCACACATGCATACACACACACACACACACACACACACACACACAAACAAGAGGTCCTTACACAGAATGCTGCCTGCAAATGTTGCCTATGGAGCCTTTTCTAGCCGTGAGTGTGTCCGCATCATCTATCACCACGTGAGCCTAAAGCAGCTATAATTGACCTTTTCTTCTTAATAGCACAAACTAACAAGCAACGTGAGCACGTGTTCGGTTTTCCTGCAACAGAAAAGGCTCATTTAGGAAAAAAATAAAATAAAATCTCCGAACTACGGAATAAGACGACAGTCTTTATTTAGTACATTGACTCTGACAGCTTGATCTCCAGTTGACACACTTTTATTCCCTGCTATACCAACATTGGCCAAAAGTCTACGGTCTACAAGGACATTCCTTTGAAAACTTTACCATGTACCTAGTGAAAGAATACTGTTATTCAGTAAAAATTATATAGAGTGGGCAAAGGGAGGGCATCCAAAAAAAAGGGTATTAACATTTAAGTTGTTGCCAGCTTCCACTTTTAGCTGTGCACCAGCTTCCTCATGGAAATTCACCATGAGGAATCAAAGCAGGGTTATGAAATGGACCCGGGCAACAAATATGGTGTGTGTTAAGAGTGGAAACATTTGGAATAGGTGCAGTGGGAGAATATTGGTTCTGACAGTTTTAAAACCTGGTTGTGCGCTGGTTTTAGATGTAAAAAAAAAGAAGGAGGGGGAAAGAACTGGGCATGAAGCATGTTAGTGTCCTTGATGAAAAAACAGACAGATGCAAGAGAGGGAGAGGAGATGGAATGAGAGGAACAAAGGAGGGAGAGGAAGAAGTGTGAGTGTGTGTTGGGGGGAGGTAATGATTTATCTACGCACGCTTTTCTCGGCTGAACCCCAAATCTCACTGAAACTTTGATCCACGTGTAATTAAAACCAAACCTTCACCAGCGCTGGTCTCCGTTTCAGGTTTGGGAGATCCTCTCTTGTACATCCATGTGTGTGTGTGTGTGTGTGTGTGTGTGTGAGATCCACATATGTTTCCAGGCGATGGGCCCCCCGTTTGTTCTGACTCTACATGTACAGTATAAACAGGACACTTTGGGGATCACAGAGCCATGTATAAATACACACACACACAAATGCACCAGGACACGCACACACGCAAACACAGATGGATTCATGGACTAACGCTATGCTAGAATGCTCCTCACAATGTTAGCGTCCACCCTGCCACCCCCCGGCCCCTCCCGGCCCCCCTTGTGCTTTCAGGTCAAGCAAAGTAAAAACAAGTTAAGCACTCATTTTCTCCCAGCAGCATTAACATAGGGATGACTAAATCATGGACCCTGACTCTCCGTCTTCTGGTTTAAATTACAGCGTGGCCCCCTCCCCTTACACCCTGCAAGCCCTCACCAACTATCCACCCCCACTCAAAGAAAAACGATTAATCTTTTTTTTTTTTTGTCTCTCCGAATGTTTTACAGTTCTGTTACACTTATTAGCTGCTGGCAGGACGGAGACTCTTAAATGAAAGCCAAATTGCTTTGGTCATGAGAAAGGAAATGAAAGCTCACTCCAGGGAGAGAGAGAGTGTGTGTGTGTGTGTGTGTGTGTGTGTGTGTGTGTGTAACATGTGTATATAGGCCTTTTCAGTATGAGACTGTCCCAAGGTGAAATTTCATAAGCTGACTGCCTGCCTGGGATGTCCCTGTGCACGGGACAGTGTGTGTAAATGTCTGTGTGTGTGCGTGCGCGCGCATGTGTGTTACAGATATAAATGCAGCAGCCTAATAGGAACAGTATGCTCATTTTGGAGAGATTAGAGGGAATGGACGAGCCTCTATTCGAAGACATGATGTGGATATAAAGGCCAAAGGACACAGAGAGGGCTTTGAACAGTGTAAAGAAAAGTGGTGAGAAGAAAAATGAAAAAAAAAAAGAAAGAAAAACACAAGGAGGAGGAAAATAAACGGCAGTGACTTCAAACAAAAAACTAAAAGTGAGCAGTGAAACTGACATCCACAAAATCACAAAGATGCAACAAGTGCAACAGGAAAAACATGACAAATGACCAAAACAAAAAAGTCAGACCACAACACATGAAGGAAACATGCCAACTATGTTAAAGAAACACAGACCTTGGCTGGAGTGCACCTCCTTGACGTGGAACAGCTCGTGCAGGCTCAGTCCATCCTCGTCTCCTCCCAGGCCCTGCTGGTGCAGCTGCAGTTTCCTCAGTCCTTCGTTCTGTTGGTGGCGGGCCGAGCGACTGTGCTGCACCAGGTTGAGGCGGGCTTTGGTGGAGTAGTCGCACAGCGTGCAGTGGTAGACGCACGACTCCGGGCCGTACGCACTGTCCAGCTTCTGCAAGTGCTGTTCAACAGAGAGCAGATGTCAGGAGGTGTGTTCCAAGTCTCGGGGCATCCTCTGCACAAATTACTGTCGTAACAGCTACTTAAACTCTGAAATGCTTTTTTATGATGGTCTTAAGTTAATTGTTGTTTTCCAAAGCCATTTAGATTAATTTCACTATAACAACCTGCAAAGTGATGTTCTTAATCTGGTGCACTTGATGGCTATAAAATCTTTACTTCCTCTGCTTCTAGTTTGCTTCCAACGAGTCAGCGCACAGAAATCCCTCTCCCCTGGCTTCCAACATTCTTTTTTTCAGTTTGAGGAAGTATACGGACTTACTGAAAATGTCATTGAAACCGTAGCGTTTGTCATTTAATCAAAACTGAAATGAATCATGGCCAATTGCAAAGAGGCACTACGGCAAGTTTGATAACAACAGGTCTGCCAACTGAGATTAGGTATAAAAAGAGGGATCATGAAAGGCTGATCTTTAAACATGTTTAGATCATATAGGATCTGGATGGTTCCACAGATGCATAGAGATGTACATAAAAAATGTAATCCCTCCAAACGTGACTTTCCCAGAATCCTTCAACGCTTCAAAGAAACAGTGACGGACTTTGACAGACTGATGAAGAGCGATATCAGACAGAGAGCGCCTATAGTTTTTAAATAGCAAAAACAGCAAGAGTTTTCACTACTTTTATATTTCAAAAGGAAAAAAGGTCTTACGAATAATTAACTGTGTTGACATAAGGCACAACAAGATCAGTAACTGTTGACTGGTGTGGATGACAGTGATTTTACTCTGTTCACTCTGAGTAAGGTTTAGAGTAAAACAGGTTTTTAGGTTGAGTTTCACGGAGTTGTTTTAGATTTTCACAGACAAAGCAGAAGTAAAAGTAAAATAAAAATCTCAAAGTTGGATAAAGGATTTGCGTTAAGAACTGTTTTTTTTTTTTTTTGTCTTTAATACACACATTGTCTCAGTCTGTATTGTCTGCAGCTGCAGGGATTTCTCCTTCAGTTGCCTCCTTAATTTCACTGCAGCCATGCAAGTCTACCCCCACCTCCTGCCCTGCCTTGCGAGTGTCCGTGCGCGTGCACACTAACTTGCAAGCACACACACCCACAGGGAGGAAAACAACCTCACTGGCCCACCTTGCCCTACTCCTATACACCCAGTCAAGCCAAGCATATCAAGTGTGCCTCTGTTGTTGCTGCTGGGCTAATGAACAATGCACAAAAACAAAAGAGCAGGCCAAGCTTTTATTATCTGATCCTCTGTGAAGGGAAGGGGGGAGAGAGAGAGAGAGAGGGAGGAAAACACCAAGAGGAAAAGAGAGCGAGGCAGAGGCAGAGGTGGCTTGCTGAGGTTAGTTTATGCTTTGTTAAGATTTATTCATACAGCCATGTGAGAAACAGGTGCAGGGTTCTGAGCATGAATTAAAGGACAAAAAGTGTGTGTGTGTGTGTGTGTGCGCGCGCACTAACTCTCCATTGTCGTGCGGGCTTGTATAGGAAAATGTTTCCTTCCTGAATAACACGAAAAGTTGGGAAGGAAATATTTTTCTCTCGATCAATGTAACATCGTGTTGCGTGGAGGAGGGAAGACACAGACGGACAAGTGTGTTTGTGTGGAAGTGGGGGTCAGAAAAGGGCACGGTTAGCTGCAGGTGTGTGAGTCCTGACGCCTCCACCACACCTCGCCCCCCCCCCCCCCCCCCCCCCCCCCCCTCCTTTGACAAACGGGGATTAGCAACATAGCTACAGCCGCTAACACATCTTTTCTCCCCATCTCTCTCTCTTTCTTTCTTTTGTAAGAAATCTTAGAAAGTTTTTCTCACGAGACGGTGGGACGTCCCCTCACAGTCAGAGGCCCTTTCAGAAGTCTTAAGTTTTAATTAAGTCAGAGTTGTCAGAAGAAAGCTCCCCTAGTCCAAGGCTCAGGGCCATTAATTACAGCTATCTTTGTTTCTCTGTGAAAGGAGGCCTCCCTCTCTCTTATTCCACTTCTTTTCTTTCTTCCTCTGCCTCCCTTGAAGGCGATTGGGGCGGCTGAGTGTTACCCTGGAAGGAGCCACACACACACGTGTGCTCAAGGAGGCAAACATGCGCTCGGTGCTCACAAATATGCACAAAACAAACAGACTTGGAGTTCATGACTTTTCATTACAAAAATAAATTATTCTCTAATACCTCCTTGAATATTGTTTTTGAAATAGTACCAATCGTCTTGTTTGGGAGCTCTATTACAGCCTTCTGCAGCGACATCATAGACTAATTTGTTCTGCTGTCAATTATTGCTTGTACAATATATAAAAAAAAATGGATATATTTTCACTGCTATGAATTTCCTTTTTTGCCTGAATATAAAGCCTTTTTTTCATTTCATGATACAAATGGGAGATAGTAAAGTTAAAAAGTTGAAAACAAAGAAATCTAATAAACAAAAAAATGCTCTTTTTTTTATTTAATGAAAAAAGTGAAAAACAAATGTCTCACTGGAAAGGTGGTTTTTTGTAAGCAAACATTTTCCAGTGCCTCCTCATATACTTTAATGCAAAAGTACTGAATTTAAAAGAAAGAAAAACACACATTAATCAGCTGCGGCCTACGACACACATCCTCTAATTCCTCAAACTCTAAGATTCTATTTGTTTTTATGACGGCTACAGCTACGAGTCGCTAAATGATATACTTGGGGTTGGAGCTGGGCTGCCAGATAGGTTTAGACCTAATATTAATTCTCTCCCCATCAGCACATTCCAGAGGGTTTGTTTAAGACCTAAACTAGAGGCTGTCTGTCGCTCTCTGGCACTCTGCAGGCCTGAAAAGCAGGCGGTCTGGTGATCACAGGCCAGAACATCCATGATTTATGAACTTTTAAAGGAGCACTTTGACTCCTGCCAGGCGTGGGCTGTGTAATGCATATTCAAACACACAAACACACTGTTCCTGCTTCTGGGTTTGCGCCTGTCTGTATGTCTGCTTGAAATGTTTATGTAATTTATGTCGCAGCTGATGTGTGCACGTGTATATGTGCTACACATATCATTTATATCAAATGAGTGTCTCTGTGCCAGTGTGGTGTGTGTGTGTGTGTGTGTGTGTGTGTGAAGAATGGGGAAAAGGCACATCCCTGTCAATATGGCACCTCTCCAGAGTGCCTGGTGGTTAATTGTTGGGGATTAGTGTTTGGCAAACAACCAAATAAGCTAACAATCCCTGTGGGCCAATCAAAACCAGCTAAACAGCTCTCCCTGGGTAGACCTAAACATGGCACAAACATCCCAGAATGCTGTGGTAAGTCCATGTACATCCCCAAAACAGACGGGATGAAAATGATGACAGCGAGGACTTCCTGGTCACCTATCAAACACAGAGAGCTGTCAGATCTGTCCATTACAAAACAGGACCGTGAACACATGCTCATTTGGACTCGCACCCAGATGAAGGAGAGAGCGGGAAGTGTGGGGGGTGGGGGGGGGCAGTCAGTCTGACAAGGGGTGACTTCCCTCATGTGGCATGCTGCCTCCGCTGCTGTGTGGATGACACAGGTCTGCATTCATTATGCAGAATTAGATGTTTACAAAACACCTTTCTCACAAAGCCGCAAACAAAACAAGCACTGCACCCGTCAGCTCACAGCAAAGGGAGCAGAGCTGCTGTCTCATATTCATTTGTTCTCTCTGTGGTGACAAAGCCGCCTCATTAAGTGAATTTTTAATAAAGCACAGCAAAAGGCATCTCAAAAGTTCTTTTATCTTTTTGTTGCACACACATGTCAAAGCCGGCCTATGTTTTCACAGCACCTTGGTTTTAGAATGATTTATATTAACTTGATCCATGTTGTGTGCTGCCTTTGCGCATTGGTTATTTTAACTCCATTTTATTTTAACTTTACCTCCAAACTGTGCTTTCGTATACGTCTATAATTTTTTTTTTCCAGTCTTTTGTCTGTGACTGTGCGTGTTCACTGGTAAGATATTTCGAAAGCGGCGCAAAGCAGCAGGGTTCTGTTTTTCTCCATAAACCAAATGACAAATTAGGGTATTCAGTACAAACATGACTCTTTCCTGTCATTAAGTGCAGAACCAGGCAGCTAATGAACACATACTGAAAATAAGAAGCCTCTGCCACTGCTGCTATGCCTTAATAACCAGTATGTGGGTGTCAGGGCGTGTGTGTACGTGTTTTATATATTTAAAGAATCACTATGTTCCCGTATTTTGTCCACTGAGAGCATGTGCGCACACACACTCACACACACGCCAGCCCCCACACTGCAAAAACAAAAACCTCTTTATCTGTTTTCACTGGTGTCCTTCTGGAGGAAGCATTGTTGTTGGATACACCTTTTTTTGGGAACCTCACCAGCTTCCGGTTCTGTCCCCTGGGCCTCTGGGTGCCATCGGAGACAAAAACAGACCCACTTGGCCCAACAAACAACAAAAGCGTGTTTTGTTCCTTGAAAGTATTTTAAACACATACCATCACTGCCTGGAAGGCTGCCAAGTGTAGAATTCCATCAGTGCTACCACCTCCCTAACACATGTTACTGCTAACCACTGCTCAGCCCCCAAGACATAGATGTAACGCAAGATCACTGCCAATAGATTTGCTGGCAGACTGCAGTGGTGAAAAGAGATGCTGAGGGCTCAGGTATGAGTTACCTCGCTTCCACAGATGAGGGGTGTGGAGGGAGACAGTGCTGCACTCAGGAATAAACAAATAGGCAAATAAGATGCCACAAACAAAAAAGTGCTGACTGCCATTTTGCACAAAATATATGCAAACGACATGGCTTTTTAATGGCGGAAATTTTGACACTCGGCTGAAGGGAGAGCACAAGTGCAGATAATAAAATGAACGGTGAATGAATGAAGCTCCATTGTGCTCTTTTCAGCCTCGGGTCTTGGCATTTCTGCACGCTGGCTCACTGTCACATTGTCGTATTGTCTTACTGTGGCACTTGAACTAAACAGAGCCACTATTTACTAACACCTGTGCTGTTC